GGGGCAAGGGTCATTTAATTGACACTGAGCAAAAGATTTCTGGGCAAGTAGTTAAAATCCATGAGACCCACTGGGGTGACATTTMTGGTGCGCTCACCAAGCTGAATGAAAACTGTTATGATATTGCTTAATTTATGCTGAATTGCATAATTGATCTGCTTTATCTCTCTAATTACTATTGATAGTAACTCTCCAAATTTAGATTAGTGCAGAGGTGAATCACTGTCTTTGATGTGGTGAGGTGCTTCTGTCCTGCATGAAAGTGGGTAGTTAGGCTATGGATTAACCRTGGGAGTGCACAGCAATTAGGACTCTCCACCTTGCCCTGGCTCCTCTCTGAAGTTCCTCGCCTGTGGAAGAGGTCACAGAAACCAAACTTAAAGCGCATCATTTCTGATGATTTCTGTATATATTTAAGTGCTCTCTTTGAGGGGAAAATCTCTAGTCATTCTAATTCAGAACACGTCCTGTTTTTTTCCCTTGCTGTATGAAGGAACCAGCACCAGAAGCGACGTGCTGCCGGGAGGGCTGGGGAAGCTCCATGGGCCACACAGTGAAGAGCAGCACCCATCTGGCTAGCAGGAGGGCTGTTGTGGGGCCGGGTTCGTTCAGAATAACTCTTTTTTTTCTTGCAAATGTGTAAAGCTGCTTGATAGGAAGCTCAGCAATGACTTCCAGAAGCCGCGTTTGCTGCAGTGCTTGCCATGAGACTCAGCCACGGGCATCCGTGGAGACCTCCTGGCAGCCCTGGGGTGGGCAAGGTGCTCTGCAAGGTGCTCTGCAAGGTGCTCTGCAAGGTCCCTTGCAAAGCATAAGCTTGGCTTGGAGATGAACCCAAACCTGCAGGAGAAGCAACACACCGCTTTGCTGTGACGTTTTAGTAACTTATATGCACAACAAGTGATCTTCTTTTAATCAGTTCAGTGCCTGCACTGGAGGGCTGTGGTTTTCTTTTTGTAGTTTTCTGTGTTGTATTACCACATATTGGGTGAACAATCTGGAAAGAGGGAGGAAAACAGAACTATTAAAAAAAATATATGTTATTGTCCTTGCTACTCCTCTAATAAGGTTATGAATGAAAATAATCYGAAACAAAGCAATTGTAATGCATAGATTATTTTGCTGCTCTATCATYTTGTAGCCCTGTTCCTTATGCACTGCTAAGATTTCATCCACTGCCTGAATTTATGAATTTATTTGTCTCTTCCTACCTTACCAGGGCTAGTTTACTTCTTTCTCTGCACTCTTTGCTCTTGTCCTGTGACTTACTGTTCTTTCTTGCCCTAATTTGTTAGTGGGAGCATGAGAAAATAGTTTCTACTGAAGCTGCTAAATATGTCTCTCATTTATTCAGCTGGTGGGAGAGAGAGAAGAAGGAATGAGGTTCAGCAAAGTAGCCTTTGTAACCACAAGATTGTTTGCACTTTACTGCCGGAGCATGCTGAGACTTGAAGCCTTTGTATGATTTTTATAAGTAGAGAGGCTGTAATTGAACTTTCTTGCTAGACATTAAGAAAAAATAAAAGATTAAAATATTTGTTTTATGCTTTTTCATCCACACAGACAAAAAACAGTTTTTGAAATTATGGGAGTGGGTGCAATTATACAAAACTCTGTGCAAATAATGAGATCTTTGTGAGCAATTTTAAAGAAAGCTAGAGCAGCCTTTTGAGTATTCAATTCAGGAAAAAGCAACCTGACTGGAAGTTTTTACTGGAGCGCTTCACTCACCTACTGTCAAAACTGCTTTCCCAATGTTCATTTTAGATGTGCTTCTAAAATTGAAACTGAGGTCATACAGGCTTGAGATATGGACAAAACTGGGGCATCCTACTTCTGTGTCCTGTACCTGTCTCTATTTTTAATGTATAGAAAATTATGTATCAGTTCATTAAAAAAAAATACTCAGCAATATATACTCAAGTGCTTCATTAAATAAAACAATCTTCTTTTAGTCAGAAACAAACTCTCCAAAAGGAAAAAGGAAACAATCTTTTTCATTGTTTGTATTCAAGCACCACTTGTTTTTGCAGATAAATATGGGAACTTCATAAACCTGACAACACCAGCACAACCAGYAAACAGGTCTTCATTTAAATCCATCTTTCAACAGAAAATGAAAAGGTAATGAGCCAAAATTATATCACAGGAGCCTTTGCTATTTTAGTTTTACTGGAAATGAAAAGAAATGAAAGCAGGTGAAAATTACTAAAATGRCTATGTGAAGAAGAATACATGCTTATATATTATATATATAAAAGCATATTTATAAAAGTAAAAGTAGAAAGTTTTTTATTGCAGTACTAAATGGACCGTCACAGAACTGGAAAGAAATGGAAAATAAGAGCTCTTATTTCTGGATACTTCTGTCAGTAAATAAATAAATATATATATATAAATTCCAACACCTGAAAACTAGCACGCAGAATAACTCAGGTCTATATCCATGAGAGCCCTTGTTTTCTACTGAAATGGTGTATGTCAGAAGAAACAACAGTTATACCCAGTTATACCCGTTAATCTGGTTCAATTTTATTACAATTTATAGCCCATGAGAACAAAATAAGTCTATTGAAGTACATGACAGCAGCAGTGCATGAGTTCGTGCTTAAAAATATTATTCTCAACGTTGGGACATCTGGGCAGCCAGATCTAATCATATTTCTTTATCCTGCCAGAACTAGAACATCTGACATCGGAGTTATTTGTTCAGACATTTTTAAATAGATAGTGCCAGATAACTAACTGTAATCAAAACCTTTCCTTTTTCTGACACTATTTGGATGTGTCTCTACCAGTCCTAAAGAAAAGAAGCAGGGGGTGGAGGGGAGAGATCATATTAAGCGTGAACAAGAGCGCCACAACCAGATTTCCTGCCTCACTTTTGATCCCTCCATGCTACCCAAGAGGTGCAAAGATGCTGGCAGCTGCCTGCAGCTGCTCCCTGGGAATGGGGAAATCTCCACAGGAGCAAAGGCTGGAGCTGGGTGCCCTGGCCCCCCAACTTTTCCCTGTTGCTTGCAGAGCAGGCATTGCCTTAAGAGCTCATCCGTTCCTTAGTCTGCCTATTTGCTACACCATTTAATGTTAGTTACTTGCTGGTTTCAGGACATTTTATCCCATTCGTTTGTCCTAGCACACACTATATTCCCCTAAGACAATTCAGTGAAGTGTAGGAGTTCTCACAATCGTCACTCTGCTTCTACATTTATTTTCTTTACTTTGCAGGAATGCTAGAGCTGAAGGAGAGAGAGTAGAGTTTGATCTGGACGATAGTCAGTATAGATTGAGTCTTGATGTGGATGTGCAGAAAGAGTGGAAAGACACGTGAGAAACACGGGAAGCACAGCTGCCTCCTCCGCACTGTCACTGTGCGCTGCTGCCTTCACCCTGCTCTAGGGAAACTCCAGTTTTCATTTTCAGAAGGCCCATAAATAAGAGAAGCTCCTGTGGCATTGACCACACTCTAAGAAGTCTATTGCCTTACCACAGCAGCATATATGTTTAGTGTGACTTTCGTCTTTGTTAACTATATTGGAAATTGTTTCTAGGTGTATATTATTCCAGTGTAGACCATGCAAGAAGTATATGAGTTAGCTGTTTAAAGCCATACTGCAGTGTTGTCCAAGTTGTATTGACAAATTTTGGACTTAGAGTTATTTTTCAAAGTGAAAATGAAGCTGAAGTTTTTTTGAGAAGTTTCTTAGCAAGATATTCTCATTTTTCAACTCATTCTAGTATTCATTCACATTCAAAACATCCATCTGTTTTGAAGAAAAATGTAAAGTGAAAATGAAATGTTTTCCTTTTTTGAAAAGCTCCATTACCCTAAATGTTTTTATTACTGGTGAGAATTTTTCACTCAGTTTCCTACACTTTGAGTTGGACAATTGCCAGAGCCCACTTTTAAATGTAACACATATAGTAAGTGCACAGGAGAGCCTGCTAATTAATCAGGAGTCAAGGAGATGTTGCAGTTGGCCTTCCTTAGCGTAAAAGGCGTCAGCAGCAGAGATGTCTTCTGAAGCTGGTTCAGAGAAGGCCTCCAGACTGCACAAGCGAGGGAGAAAGAGGCACCTTCATAGCTTTAACACTGAACAGAAGGCCTCTTGATGTATGGAGCAGTGTGTGATGGTGATGTTCCCTGTGGCTTGTGTTCTGGTTACAGATTAATTTGCTTTATGTTCATCTGTCTGGCATGTGACAGTTAATTCATTTTCTCCTCAAACAGAGGCTAAAATTCTACTATGTGACCTAGGGTGAAATCATGAACCAACTGAAGTCAGAAAGTCTAGTCATTAACTTTAGGGAGGCCAAGATTTAATCCTTATTATTCACCTATTTGGGGCCAAATTTTATCATAACTGAGTGGCAACTACATCAGTTTTGGTAAGAGTCAACTCTGAATCCAGTGTGCAGCTCTCACTTACTAATCGTTAGAGAAAAGTTGTGGTCTGTTCCCATTCTGCAAGACACTGTGCAGACATTGTTTAAAGACCATATTTAGAGTGTTGGTATGTAAAATTTTCAATGATATTCTGTGTTTTGGATGGGGAAGAACAAGTTACAAGTCTTAATAAAGGCAGTATAGTTGGATTAAAAAGAAGATAGAGGATAGGGAGTGAGAAAAATAATTGTGCTAACACAGTTGATACTTTACAGGATTTTTAAATTTGGCCCAAGACCTTTAGACTGTTTAATCTCATTTCAACTAGTGCTTTTTTAGGTTAAAGGCTTAAAAGCTTTTATTTTATGATCAGATATCTCTGTTTATTATACCTGGGGAAGTAATATATTGCATAAATTAATGTGATAGGTAATACACATTTTGAGGCATTAAGTAAACATGCCTATCTTAATTACTGGATACAATTGCAAGCAGGTTGGCAAAACTAACAAGCAATTAAGCAGGTGAAGTAATATCTTTAGGGAGGTTACACTTGACTATCAGATAAATGTAATCAACCTGTGATAGCCCTTCATCCTTGTGGTTATTCTTTTATTCAGAAGTCTGAAAACACAGCATAGAAGAACTGATTGCTATAGAGGCTGCCTAAAAGGTAAGTGGTTTCTCCTTGCTGCAGTATGATGTTTTTAGATTTTTGGTTTTTCTTAGGGGGAGGAAGAAAGGAGAGAATAAGAGGAATGGGACATTGCTACTATGTACTGTTGCTACTGTCATCATATTTTCATCTTTATTTTTATCTTTGTTAATGATTAGGAAGAATAAGAAACTAGTGTTTAAATGAAATATTAAATGAATCTAAACTGGAGGAAATAATATTGGCATGAGGCTTTTTTGAAAACAAAAGTATGTAATAATAACAAGAAAGAGTTGCAAAGATCTGGGGGACTGTGGGGCTTTTGGAGCTTCTCCTGCCTTGGTCATACACTAGTTAGTGGACAGCATGTGTGCTGTTGAAAATGCCCTTTGTCAGAAGGCAGTCTTCTGGGATTTAGTGAAATGGGCTTTGAAGTTGTTAGTAGAGTTTGTGTAAAGGGTGCAATTTAGTGCTAGCAGCATTTGGGTAAAGCTAGGTCATTCCAGCACCTCTCAAATAAAGCATGCCTTGTTCAGGATTTCCAAGACAAAGCAACACAGCGTGAGCCCAAGCAGGGAATACATTCCAGATGACTTTTAAAAAACAGCATGGTAAGCAAAGATGAGGCTATGACTAATCAAACTGGTAAGTGGAGACTCTCTTATACTGCATTAAGTATTGGAATATGAGGTACTAAAAGAAAGCTGACAAGGTTGAATAGTAAAAAGTAAGTCATCTATTAAGACTTTTTCAAGATGAGGAGATAAGACAAAAGAATATAATGTGAATGATGCATTAAAAACTTTATGAAAATGCAGTTAAGATTGGAAAAGGGCAATAGAGCCTTCTATTTGTAACTTCTGCTTTGCTACTATGCATGGAGAACTTCTGTCCTGTTGCATTTCCTAAACCATCTGGTTTAGAAAATTGGAGAGAGTGGGAAGAAAAGAGCTAGGTCTCCCAAAATGATAAATGTTGCTTTAAAATCTTGTGATGCAATGATATCATTGGAGTTTTTATGTCTTCTGGCTTTGGACTTTACAAATAGAATTCTAAGAAGTGAGTAGAGATCCTGATATAGATATATATATATATATATATATGCACACACACACACATATAGATCCCGATTTGACTTACTCGGGAATGAGTAAGTCAAATAAAACAAAGTGTTAACCAGCAAGGTGTCAGCACTGATGCAACAGTAAACAAGTTATCAACTCAATTTCCCTAATTAGGTTCTTAATTGGGATAATAATGGGCTTGCAGTGAAAAACTAATATGGAAATGATAAAGAAATTCACAATAACCTAGAGAGCAGAGAATTTTTTTCTTTATAATGTTTATGGTAGCAAAATCAAAGGATAGACTCCAGGCCCAGGTAGAGAGGAAAAATACTCCTTAGTCCAATCCATTCACTGCAACTCAAACTTTTCTGACAGATGAAATTATATTGTTATCTTCCTACTGATGAGCAAATCAGCACCACCTTTTCCAAGGACTTGTGGTTTTTAAAAATTGCATTTATGGACGCCTCATGCAGATTGCATCACAGAGCATGTCTTGGGAAATGGGTCAAGTGGAGATATCCCTTGTAGGGCAAGGGAGCAGGATATCTTTCCCTTCTCCCTATTCATTACCAACATCTCTGCAGTCTTTCTTTAGTTTCCACTTCCCGAAAATCTGAGAAGGTGAGGGAAGGCTGCTGCAGCAGGCCGTGCCCTTACCCTCTTTGTTTCTGCTAGCCTTAATTAACCTCTCCCTAGGTTCACCAAATTTGTGATTAGATTTTTTTTTTTTAAGTTGGGTTCATGCTTGCTAAGCAGGTTTTCTCATAGCTCTACTTGAAACACCATTATTACCATTTTGAATGCTGCATTGTTTGTTCTAGCAACCCATCTTAGTAATTTATCCCATATCTCTATTTTCCCCTTATGGAAAATACAATTATTTTAATTCTTCTAATTGTTTTTCATTTCCTACACTCCAAATTTGTCTCTTTCCCCCAGGCATCTCTTCATCTTAGATCATTGACTGGAAAGGCCTTTTTGGCTCCTTAATTCCTTATCTCTATTCCAAATGGACTAATATTGTACAGTGTTCAATAAGAAAAAATAATTTAATTTGTTATTTCATCCTGCGGTCGCAAAATTGGCTGGCACATGAAATGACTTTCTAGTTTCGGGGTACTTATTGCATCTAAAATTTTAAGGGCCACGTTTCAAGGGAAAGCTCTGTGAAACTTTGGGAAACAATGAGCCCTGCAAATAGTTGCACTCGCATAAATCTGCGTTGTCATTCAGTGCTGTGAACAGATCTTTCAAATGTAGAGCCTTGCTTCCTTTGTGCAGGAAAAACTATTGTGTTGTGTCACAGTCCCCATTGAGAACATTATGCAGTGAATCAGTGTGGTGTATTCTCTTTCTTGATTCTTTTAGTTATTTTGTTTAATCTCATGTAATAGCCAATTAACTTGATTTGCCTTCAGAGCAGGGAAAAACATAAATAAACCTGGCAAAAGAGTGAGGTGGGAAGAAATACAGAGATGCTGTGTGGCGCAACAGGAAATCAGTTGCCATATGGTCAGTTATAAATAGGGCTATCGTATGGCCTTGGCTTATTGGCCATGTCCAGGTTTTCTGCCCCAAGACTTCTATCTACCGACTTCCTTATCTTTGCTTCCTCATCTAGTTTCTGTAGGCAGAAGAGGCCCAGATTTGTCTGGATATGCTGTGACCAAGATGCCTTCCTCTGGGGTCTGGCTGAAGTATTTGGGAGTGACGAGTTCTGTGGTGATGTAGACCAGGCAGGGCTATAAGCCAAAGAAGGAAATGAGAGATTGCTGTAGGCTCGAAATGTCATCTTTCTACATTGAGAAATCTTTTTTCTGTTGGAAATTTAGGGCTGTGACTGTTTGTCTGTGTATTCCAGATGAGAGTTTTAGCAGTCTGGAGCTGTGTTTGTACATGTTTGTATGAGAAAAATAATTCCACTTGGGCAGGTTGGACCCCAAGACATGCACGCTTGCACCTCCCACCTGCATCTTCAGTTTCCTAGTGAACTTTCCTAGTGACTAGTCCTGCTTGAGATGGAAAGAGATGTTGCATCACAGAGGGGGTGAGTGGGTAAGGAAGGATGATTATATGGTAAAAACAAAGGACAGAAAGTATGATCCTGGTTAAGTATTTTGAAGTCTCCAGTGCTGTGGAGCAAATAAACAGAGGTTKTCAGGGCTTCAGATTGAGTTGACCATATTTGTCTAGTCTTTTTATACCTGCCCTATTCTAAGTGACTGGTTTAGCAGCAGCAGCCCTATCTGTGGTTCCAAGTCATTGGAAACTACCATGGTTTCTTACTACCTATGGCTTTTCTGTGAGTTCTGTTTGTTTTCTACACAGTACTAGCTTCCTATGTAGAACCTTGTTTTGCTAACTAAATGAATATCTGGATTTAAGAGAGGATTTTGAGTGCCCCTGCACAAATGCTCACAAAGTGCTATCTTCTAGCACTTACCCTGTCTGCAGACAGATAGCTTTGCTTTTTGTTAAGCATCCTGATATGCAACTCCAGCACAGACTCAAAACTGAATTACACCTACTATATCATCCAAATTTGTCATATATAAATATAGATGTTGAGATGATTAAACACATTAGCAATTTTCACTGTTTCTTTAATTTCATCATTCATTGTTTTTATTTGATGAACCTCTTTCTTATGAAACTTATTAAAATGTTGGTATAAATCTATTCCAAATTCCCTTGATGACTATGTTTATACAAAATGATATACATAATGATCTCCTTTTAGAGACTGCATTAAAATGTGCACTGGCTTTTCAGTTTATAAGAGACTGTGTATCACTCTCATAAGGAATAATCTCTGAGATTTTCTTGTTACATTAGGGAGCTACTGGCACTCAGGCATGGCCTTTACCTCAGTCTGAATCTCTCCGACTCTTATTACAGACTCCCATGATCCCACTAAGACGGGGTGAAATCCTCCACTGATAAGTGAGAACAGCCCTCCCTTAAGATGATAGAGAGCACTAGACATTAAAGAGGACATAACGGTCAGGTTTCATTGACCTAGCTTTTGTTGTCTGGATGTTATAATTTAAATTCAAACCACTTGTTTAAACACCTTTTCCAATCAACAAACAAGGAATTTCAGCAGGTGAATTTTCAGTCATGTTTTAGTACAGGCTCTTTCCAAGGTTGCATCTCTTTCTCCTTTGATTATAAAGACAGCCTCAATAAGTATTTGAGATTAAACATCTAAATAATTAGACAGCTAATGCAAGATGAGTTGAATTCCACCCTGAGGAATTCAGGAAATCAACTCTACTGACCTTCCCCAGTTATATCTTGACTCCAGTTAGAAATATAGCTTGCACCTTCCCTTTTGGGTTGTACATTTACCTTTAACAAATGAATTTGCTGTCTCTGTGCCTTTATCTCAGTTTAATGAAAGGCATTTATCTTTCAGATATGGCAGTGAAGAGTGTAAGTACATCTTATATTGAAATTAAATGTATTGAGTTTTCCAAATTATTTATTAGTGCTTCTATTCCCCTAAAAGGCAAGAACAGGGCAAGATATATGTTGGTGGGTTGTTTGTTTGTTTTGTTGTTGTTTAAACCTTCAGTAGTCTCAAAAATCTGTTGCCTCGGAAGTTTTATCTCTGTTTCATGGAAGTTTTTATTTTCAAATTATTTCTTCAACTCTAAAAAACTTCTGGTACCTGGTGACACAGATAAATATTTTCGTTGAAGGTCAAAAAAGTTATAAATATTTTCATTAGAACAATTATGTAGTGATGCTAATATATGCATCCCACTGTTCCATGTTGCAAACACTTAAGAAATTCATCTTTTGGAATATCAGTTTTTAAAGTGGAAGAGCATGGGTTTTTCTTTTGTTTTGCCAGCTGTTGTGCTGTTWTGTTTAGTGTGTTGTTGCCTCATATGCTCTCACTGACCACTGAGATCTAGATATCCTTAAGAAAAAGGATGTTGTCTTATACAGGCTTTTCTTACTAATTTAATATTTTGTGTTGAAAATAGATCAATGAGGATGCAAGACAAACATTACTTCATTACAGAGAAAAGAACTTTTATCTACCTACATTTATTCTTTCTCATCTCTCCTTCCTCCTGTCCCATAAACAGGGAGAAGAAGGCACAACTARGGGAAAATGAGAGGAGAAAAAGCACTCTGTTGCAATGACTAAGGGGCTCTATATTGAGGGGATATTTGTTGCTTGATTTGTCTTGTAAGGTACTGTAAATTGATTCCTAGGTTTAAGTTTTTTGGGTTTTGGTTTTGGAATTCAAATAAACTTTGTGTTCTCTTTATCTCTTCACCTTCCATATATCCATATATGGGTGTTTAAAAATGTGTTGGAGCTTTGAGTGAAAATGGATTGACATAGAATTACTTAGTTAATTTTATAAAAACGAATGTTCTCTAAATATCCATCTTGAAAACACATAAGCTCTTTCTCCTGGGAGCATTCTTTCTAATTATTCATAATTAATAAATAAAGAACTGTGTAGTTCTACTGAAAGTAGTTATTAAAAGGCTCTTAGAACTAAAAGATCTCTCGGTCAGACATCCAGCTGTGTTAAATGAATGTAGGACTGAATCCAGAGAAATTTTTAGAAAGTTGGTTTTTTTTTTGGGGGGGGGTGGTTCTGAGTTCAAGAGAGATCATCTTGGATTGAAACATCAATTCTTAAATAATAAGTTAGAAGCACACTCAAATCTTACTCGAGCTATCCAGCTTGATTCTGAATTTTCCAGGTGAAGTTCCTGCTTTAAGGCATCCAGCATAAGAATGCTTGGCATAGTCTGATTAAAAGTGATGCTTGTGTTTGGAGGAGGAAGAGACTGCTCCTGCCTTGTTGGAGCTCTCCAAGGCCATGGCTAGCATGGCATTTAGGAGGAGCTCACTGGGCATTGTGCAGTTGGATTTTCAGAAGGACACATCACATAAAACACATCAGAAGGTGATAGAGAATGTGAGACAAGGTGCACACAATGTGCTACCTGCCCGTTTTCACTCTGAAGTGAACACAGCATGGAGAGAAAATATTTTTCTGTCTATTAGTGGACTGTAATGCGAGGATAAAACAGTCTCCTATATAATGTCTAGCTAGAAGAGTGTACAAACATGTGGAATTAGTCGTGCACCCTTCCTTCCAAGAAGCCACCTCTTCCTGATGTGTCCTAGTTGCTAGATACATAATTAACAGCTACTCGTACCCCCTTGATGCTTTTTTTGGCTTAAACTATCCTATACTGTTCCAGCGTGACCCTCTAGGGAGAACAAATTCTCTCTGTAGACTCATGATTTGCAGTAAGCATGCCCTGCTTTATTATAGTCTTTTCTTTCAGCTTGCAGAAGAAAACCCTACTCTAATCAGCTCAGTCAAACAATTGGAACAAGGGGTTATTCAGACTGCTCTCCCTGCAGTGTAATAACTGTGCTATCTTATTTGCTTCTGTATTGGACCTTCCATCCTATACACAGCATGCTGGAAGAAGAAGTTTTCTTTATTGATTCAGACACTGCTGTTGTATTCACATCTTCCTCTTGGACAGTTATACAAATGCTCCTTGATATTCTTTGCTGTGTTATTTTGTGTCCACAATAAATAATCCCTTTGGATTCTTGCAAAAATAGCCTGTGTGGCAAGTAACAAAAAGCTCCTCAGGACAAGAAGAGGCATGCAACCTTTTACTTAAAGTWTCTTAAAGTATCTGAGAACTTTGTTTTGTTTAGAGCATCCCTATTGTATTTCACCTGGGCAGGTGTTCACCTGGGCTGTTCAGGCCAGAACACTGGTCTCCCAAATGCTGTATCAAGCCTTAAGTGAAGTTTGTCCCTATTAAATCTGTCTCTAGTAAAGAAGTTTCCAATTAAAAATAAATAATGCAAACCAGATGTTAAAATACATAGGAAATAGCCTGTTAAGTATGTGAACATCCTTAGAAGGAGAGTACATGTCTACTGAGGAGGGCACACTGGTACACTCTGTGGAGCAAGTCAGGTCTCAGTCCTGTGCTTTTTCTTTATCAGTGCATCTTGATCTTTAATTTCTTTAAGTTCTGAGCAGAGATTTAGGCATGCAAAGTGAAGGCTGAACCACTTGAAAACTKCCAGCAGTTGGACAGGTAGGGCTGTCTTGTAAGAACAAGAGTAAGGGTTCATTGTGTGCAGGAGGCATTGAGTTTTGGTTTGTTAGATCAAAATTTAGGCAATAGCTATACTAAATTGAGAAGCGTCATGTCTTCCTGGATAAGAAGTGTGGTACTTTTTCCAATCTGACACATATARAGAGTAATGACTTTAAATACGCATGAACAGAGAATAGTAGAGGAAATCAGGGATGGTATTTCAGCTATTGTGGTTTCCCCACTCTTCTACTTTTTAAAGAAGTACATAACACAAACATAAYAGTAACATAAAACTACTAAACCTTTGCACGAACAATGTAATTATACATCCTAGACATGCACCTGTTGAAAGGAATTTATTAGTGTTTATGGCAAGAAAAATGAGGAGCTGAAAGTGGTGACCTCTCTTATTAAAATTGACTTACTAGTGTTTGCACCACCTGTTGCTGCAGTGTTTAATCAGTCTCTTTAGATTGGAGTACGTATTGAATTAATACCAGATGTTTTCAATCTTTGCAGTTACTCTAGTCTTTAAATCGGGCCATTTTCAGAAATCATTAAACAATATTGCTTGATACCTATATTTTCCTCAAAAGTTAGCAGAGTTGAAGTTACTATCTTCTCATCTTCCCAGAGAAGACAAATTATCAAACATATCTGAAGGATCTTCTTTCGGGGTTGGTTGTTAATGTACCATAGTCCTCAGGAATGCAGTGGCATGGTAGGATTATAAATCCAAAGACTCAACAGAGGAAATGCATGTAAATACCAAAGGTAAACTTATCTTAATAGTTTCAAAGAGAAAAGCCTTGTCACAGATGGTGAAGACAGACAGACAAAATTTAAGAATGTGGTTGAACCAGGATGCACATGTATTGACTTAACATGTCTGAAAATTGAATTTGTTGATTTGTGCCATTGCACTTCCACAGTCCCTACTGCATGAGGGAGGTTCTTCTCCACAGCCTCCCAGAATCGCTGCTCAGAGCCTGAAGCCCTTTTCCTGGGAGACCTGGAGTGTGAGGGAAGAAAGGCTCTAGGTTCTACCCTGAATGGAAGAGCCTCCTTCCTCCTCATCTTTGGATGGTTTTGACAGTGACTCCATGCCAAGTATATGGACTAAAGCTGTGTGTCCCATGTAGCACATGGACTTCGGGGCTACTTCAAGGAAAGTGGGGAAAAAGAAGGAAAGTATTGCTTGTAGATGCATCTGACAGTGAAGCAATTTTTTTTTTTCCTGTCCTCAAAAGTAACTAAAATGTAGCTGTGTTGTTCAGTCGAGTCAGTTGGGTATCCCTTGTCTTCATTCCCATGTCTCATTTCTAATGAGAGCCTACAAAAACAATGAATATTGGAAGGAGAAAACCGCAAATCCTTTGGCTCTTTGTGCCCAGTGCTGCTGGCCCAAACTTGGTCTTCCTCAACCAGCAGCTGCTCTGAAGCAGAAAGGGATGGAGCAGACCCTGTGGTCTGATACATAATGGGAACAGTATTTGGTCTAGTGCTTGATCCTAACCTGCAAGGTTCCCAAAAGATAGTTTATTAAGAAGGAAAGAGCTCAGAATGCTTTTGCCACATGTGAGGATGCAGGATGAGAGCAGTCGACTCCTCTCTTTTAACAGGAGATGTTTCTCCATTTTTAACATCTGTCAGATTACCTCAGCAATCTTCACTTATGGTGGGGTGTAGGTTAGGTTTAACAAGCATTGCAACATTTATTTATTTATTAGGCTTGAGAAGCACTTTGAGCATTATTTTTTTTTTCAAATTAAGATGCTTAAGATGCTCTGATCTTGCAAGAGAAGCAAAAGAAGCACTGTTGCCTGTATTTCTCTTTTACACTGAATCTTCCTCCTTGTATTTGGTCCACAGTGTCTTGAAATTGTATATGACCATGTATAAGTACCTTAACCATGACAAACACCTGTATGACTTGGGCATGTAATGGTCAGTCTTGCTTTTAAAATGGACTTAAATTTCCTTTTTTTCCACATATCATCAAAACATTATAATACCACAAAAAATATCACACTGTAACATAATTAAGTAGGAAGTAATACATCTTCTGCCACTTTTAGTGAAATYAGAGATGCATACACAAAATGTCTGAGATATAAAATGCAGTGAGTTATTTTCATATGTGTGTTTAAAAAAAACCTTTTTCTATTACTATGCAAGATAATATAACTGGGAGTGGAAAAGAGCTAAAATCACTTTTTGTATCCCCCTGGAAAGTATATTATCTACCAAAGTATTTGTATCTTCATGTTTATAAACACAATCTGGAAATATTCTTTTTGTAGAAAGTGCACTGCAATGCAGTAAGTTTCAAAGGCAAATATGTATGTGAAATGAGGTTCTTTCTTTGAATTTGAATAATCTTAGGGGTGCTTTTTTGTGGTTGTTTGTTTGTTTTYCCTTTCGCAGATACTATTGTTTTACCTTCCCCTGGTAAAGGCTGARACATTAGCAGTAATGTCACAGACGGGTGTCAAGCAACTTTGAAAAATATTTTCCACTATAGCAATCTTTTTTTTTTGAGAACTGAAGTCAAAGCTGACTGAAGTTGCAAGAAAAATCTCATGCTGTCRGTGAAGGTGGATTCATGACATTCATGTGGAACAGTTCTGCTTACATGAAACAGCAGTGGATTTATTTGACTGTAACTGGGTAGATTATTCACAACAAAGAACTTCTTTTGTGTTTCTTTTTTTTTCTGTTTTATTTTGAATTCAGCATGCAGTATCATATAGGCCACTTGATGTCTTATGTCTTTTCCAGAATGGATGACTTTTTTTTTTTAATACATTATTTTTTCAACAACATGTGTGTGAACAAAATTCCATTTTACTTTGGGTGTGTGGGGGAGGTGGAAATCTTAGTTTGGATATATCTTTTTTGGTATTTTTATAATCAAAACTTTAAGGCAARCTTTTCTGATGTGTTAGCAGAGATAACATGAGTTAAAGGCTTGATTGAAATTTATTCGGCAATTTTTTGGTCTCCCCTACTGTTTCTGTTCTGTTAGTTCATAATGTTTAACCTGGTGTATGGACGTTAGTACAACAATTTTACAGACATTACAGACAAACTCTTTCTTTAGTATATTTGTGTAAACTGCTTCACACCTCCATTCAAAGGCATCAAAGACAGAAACAGGCATTTCCTACAAAGAACTTAACTGGAGTTGATAGACACCACCAATCTTGTAAAACAGTATATTTTGAGAGACCTTGGTGCATTAAATTATGTTTCCACTTAGGGAATTGTTCAAGAGAACAGTAATAGTGTAAGCCCACGAGTATTATGGTAAGTACATYCATCGTGTCAGAACAGTTGTATTTAATAAAGCTTTATTCCCAACTACAAAGAGCTTTTAAGATATTTTCCAGTTGGATAACTGATTTGTTTTGTGAGTTTTAAAGATTCAGTTATTAGTTTAGGGAATTTGAAACCAATGTTAAAACCAAAACTGTAAAATATTATATCAAATATTTAGATTGGAGTGAATTGTGTTACATGGAGACATGTAGTAATATTTCTTACATGACATGGAACATAACAATTATGGCACTACTGTGAAATGGAAGGTCACAATAATTCACACAAAGTTAGGACTTTTTAGGCACATGTTTAACTTTTGGTGATAGGTACAGTTGTACAATATTTTAGTAAATGCATCAATGTAATTTAATTTGTTCCCAACTGATTAYTTTTTGAAGTGGGGTGGGGGGGGGGGGAAGAAAAGGTATAGAGCAGCTCAGTAGCAAGCTAGTCACTACTTGGCTTCACTGTATCATGTACGTGAAGGCAACCCCCATTCTACAATTTTCCCTTCAGTGTGCCAGACAATGGTAATTAATGTGAATGCATTCAGCTGCCTAAACGCGCAAGTCTCTAGTTCCTAAGTTTGTGTCCAATTTTTGGTTTTAAGACCTTCTGGATGGAAATGGTTACTTGTGTGAGAAGCTGCACTACCCTAGAGGTCCTTTGCTCTTCGTCAAGGGTCAGCTGGACAGTTTGGGACACCTATGTGTCCCAAGGCTTCTGTGGTGGGTTGCTGTTAAAGGGAAGCAAGGGTCATGAAAAGCTAACAGCAAATCCTGCAAGCAAACATCATGCCTCTGGTGGACATCACCTCCTTGTGTCTTCAGTGTCCCTTAGTTTGGGGTCACCTCTTCTCCTTGGTGTTAGAATTCTCTGTCCGTTTTTTTTATCCTGTTCCATGACTGCCAAATTCGTTATCTTTGTCCTTTTGAGGTGTAAATTGATGCTGAACCAAAGAATACTCTGTTTTCTCAATGTATCTGGCAGGAAACAACATAAAAATGGGCAGCTCTTCTGTAACTCTTGTAGTGCCTCAAACACAAGTTTCTTCTTTATGACTAGAAGTAATAATGGAAAATATATTTACAGTGAGTTTYAATTCTTTTTTTCTCTACACAAAAGCTGCACATATTTTCATCTATCAGGTCTTTTATACAGCAAACAACAAACAATATCTGCATAATAATCTGTGTTTTAGAAATATCTAATTTTTTTCCATCTCTCCTAGTTCACATTTGTCAGAAATATGCTTATGTGTGTTTCATGAGTTGTTTGGTTGTTTTATTTTTTATAATTGCTTTTTAAAATTATTAAAATCATGAGTAGAATGAAGATTAAGCAATTGCTTAATGTTTTGGGGGGGCGAAATCAAAGGAATAAGAAATGGAAAATATCTATGGTATTTTTCTCTGATGTACCAAACAATATAATTGTTCCTTATAAAAAAGAGAGTAAAATACTTCTCGCATTGTTTTGGGTAATTGCAAATTTAACACTTTAAAATGTGTTTATCATGAAGAGAAATTCAGCTACCTTTATTTAAGTACTGAATATAGAATTTAGCTGAACTTAAAGGTTAGATCTCTTAAAAGCTTTCTTYTTATCTCCACATCAAAGTACAAATCCAGTTAATTCTTTGAGATTCTAGAAGCACAATGAAAGCATATTTSTAAGTTAATTCTATAGCTCTATAAAACAGTTTGTGCTTTTTACAAATTTCTTGTATGAAGTGTACGAAGTGAGCATAAATTCGGTGCTTTTTTTACCCACTTTTTTTTTTATTAATACACTTTAGGGACATAAGTCACTGATTGTAGTAATCAGTATGTGGGAAGCCTATGTTCAAGTCTCTTCTTCCTTTACATATCTGATCTTTCCAAATCTCCTTTATTTTTATTTTTTAAGATAACCTGATATTTGACCTGAATTAGATCATTTTCCTATAATTCCATTTTTTTTTCCCGCTTCCATGAATTCCTGTAATTAATATAAAACAGGGTAGAACCAACAGGAGAGTTTGGAAATGAGGCTAACCAGGTAGACCAGTTAGAAATTTGGCTGCTTTAAAAGACAGAAAAGTTGGACTGAGCTCCTTTCTACACCAAGTTCCTGTTCTGAATCCCAGGCGAGCCCTGTTTACCAGCCTGTATTTTACACAAGGAGTGTGTGTTATGTTATCTCACTTTCTTTACCTTCTCTGCAAGGTATCACTTTTACCTGAGCTTAATGAAAGTTTGGGACCATTTTTGGTACTGAGAAATGGCATTTTCAACAACAACAAAAATAGTGGGAAGTTCTGTTCTGGGTGGCTTTTCTACTGCATTTACAGCTTTCCAGTGAAAACTGTCTTTCATCTAGTTCTCTAGAAGAATAATTCTGGTGAATAGAAAAGTTACCACTAACCCCCTGTTCCTGTTGTGTATCAAAAAGAATAACATTAAAGCATCACCCACAAATAGATCCACCATAAAAGGATATTATATTGATTTGCTAGGTTACTATATAATTTTTTTGCATTAGAAAGAACAGGCTGCTCTGTATGCATTGAAATAAAATCTATTCTCTTGCTGTTTGGTTTGCAAGACTTTTAAAGCATTTCATACTCTGTCATYATATCTTTTAAAAATAATTTAAAACTGTTTTAGTTCTGTTTTGGTTGAATGAATTTGCAGAGGTGTTCTTGAAATGAATTTGGATAGGAAAAAAACTCTTTTCTCAAATAAATCAGTCTACCATCTTTTATTGCCTTCTGATATACTACACTCTTGCAAGCAATAGGACTCAAAAGAGGGATTCAAACCACCTCATTTTTGGTGACTGGTATGAGCTGACTTGTCCTGCTGTTTCTTGAGAGGCAATGAAGAAAGGCAARTTCTTCCAGAGAGAAAAATGAAGTAGTTTTTGCTCTGAATTTCCACCCAGAAGACCTTACTTTCTCTAGGATAATAGCAGGCAACAGGTAGACCAATCTCCTAATTAACCCAGGCACCTCATTTGGGCCTCTGAAACAGGYGGGTGAAATGCTTCTCCAAAAGATGCCTTTTGACAGTGTTGCAACAGTCATAACGGTTGTCTAATACAGTCAGTACCATGAAATATGGTAAGACTTTTTGCAAATCACCACAGTACTTCTAGTGACCATCTARTGATTTTGTACTTTTTTATATATGGATGCAATGTGAGAAATTGATAGAGTTGAATCTGTGACTGGGGATGACAATTTTGGCTGTGTGACTTCTGAAGACTGCTCTGTTAAATAAGGTTTGATTTCAAGAGAGATAGGACAGCTGGGAGGCTGTATTTTGGGGGGAAATTTTGTATGTTAAAGTAGGAATTTTATAGTGGGATAGGGAATTTTCCTAAATAGCTTTCATGTAAAGGCTTACTATTTTAGACTGAGCTGTTGCAATATTTTGAGAGACCTATTCTACAGTTTGTGCCATGTACCCTCTGACTCCATAGACAAAAAAAAAACATTTACAGTGATAGATGAAAGTAGAATAGTGGGAGAGAGGAAGTTGGGAATAGAAAAGARACTAATGTTGTAAAACAGAGATAAAGCGTTGTAGTCTCAAACCTCAGAAGACAAAGACTGATATATTTCAGTTAGCCCTGGAACTTCTGGGAGTCAGCATTGAGAAGCATTTGGCCTTTGTTTTGCAAATGATTGGCAGGTTATTTAAAGGTAAAGCAGATGCTTCTGTCTAATTGAGTACRAAACTAATGTTTTTGTACTCAATTAGTCCTTCCATTGCCCCTTCCAATTTTGGTGCAGCAGGAGAGTGTAGTGATGTTGAAAAAGAACATGCACTTTCCATTTGTACCATCTCTTCATCTAACTGCAAAGCACAATCATTTTAGTAGAGGTAAACTTTCATGGTCCCCAGAGTCCTTAAGTAATTTTTGGATTAAATGGCCATACTTAGTTTTTTCTTGTAAGTGGTGTCACTCCACTTTCAACTTAATTATAGCTTGTTTGGGTAAGCTTCTGTGTAATGTCAAGTTTTCCCAAATGGCTCTAGAAGGTCAGCAAAGGTCTGCTGTTAATACTTTCCACAACAACTGAAAGGCTTTCTCTGTTTAAACAACAGCCAGGGAGAACACAATTAGACACAATTACCTAATTCTTCTTCTTGTAGTGCTCAATGGCAAAATGTCAAAGTCCAGGCACAATAAAGATTAGAGTTTAGGAAAAATGTTGCTTCAGAGAGTAAGTTTATAGAGACTCACAACCCAGTAATCAACCTTGCTTAGCTACCTTACACACTATAAAAGAGTGAAAGCTTAAAAATGTAGCCAAAAAAAAAAAAAAAAAAAATCAGAAATCACAAGATGGATTTTTTTCCCAGAAAT